CAATCCATCTGAGATGCTGCTTTCAATGTAGCAAACCTTGTCTGCAATGTAATTGGAGCTGGAATAGATGCTGGAAGCATACCCTTCAATGCTCTCCAAAGTGGCCACAGGGGCCTTCAAATCTTGAAGAACCTTGAAGACTCCAAAGCACACTGCAAAGGTTTGCACCTGAGCTGAGCTCAATGCGCACTTGAAAACACCACCAAGCAAATGACCACAGCTCAAAGAGTCTAATCTATCTTGGCAACTGCAAATGAAGACTTACTAGAATATAACCCAGCTTCAATCTGCAAAGACACCTGCAAAGCCCCTGCAAAGCCAGTCCAGTCTGCAAAAGGTGTCAGGAGCTGGAAGTGGCCAATGCCTTCACAGCTTTGAAACATTCTTTGAGACTAGACATAGTTGTCTCCAAACTGCAAACCAATCTCCAAGCTTTAAAGAAAAACAGTTGCTGATTCCCTCCAAGCTTCCAACTCCAACCAGCCAAGCTGTCAAGATCACTGCAAGGTGGCCTAGAAGCCACCCAAGCATCTCCAAGGCATACCCCAAGCTGCCAAAGATCTTCTCCAAGAAGCTGCTGAAAGCCATGGCCTGAACAAGGTGCCCAATGAATTGAACTGATGAAACATGTCTTTAAGAACACTTGGGACTTAAACAAACCTCAAAAAGAAAGCTGTGCCAGTGTCATTCAAGGTGCTGCAAATCCCAAGCTGAAAGTCACGCGCTGCAAGGCCCACTTGAAAAGCTGAAAGCTGCTGTTGCTGCAAGCTTCAACTGAATGCTGCAAGCTGCAACCCCCTCCAAATCCATTCTTTCAAGCTGCAAGCCCTTGCAAAACAGACTTCAACTGAATGCTGCAAGTTGCAACTCCCTCAAAAAGAAACTTCAAAGTGCACCCTTGCAAAGCCCTTCAAACTGCAAGCTCCAACCCAGGACTCCAAACCCTTCTAACAAAGTATTCCTTCAAGCTGCCAAACCTAGAACCTTTTTGGACACCCAAGCTCAAACTAAGGGTGTGCTTTAAGCTTCTTCAAGCTTCCTGCAATCTAGAAATGCCACCCCTCCAAGCTGTCTTCAACTCTTCTTCAACCTTTCTTTGAAGCCTTTTCTTCCTTCTTAAAAGGATTTGCCTTCAACATCTCCACCACTGTGTTTCCTGCAAGCAAGTGGGGGGGGGTTGAAGCTGGAAGGCAAGGCTCAAAGGCTTCAATATTCCAGATTCTAAAGTGCTACAACTCATTGAACATCTCTTAAACCCCCCTTCCAATGCTGTTGCTGCTGTTGCTGTTGCTGCTTCAGATGTCCATTGGAGGTTTGGAGATTTCCATTGAGATTGGATGCCTTTTGATGGAGATTTCCATTAAACATTTGAAGATTTCCATTGAGATTTGATGCTT